CAAGAGAAGCTGCGGCTGCCTGTTGAACGAGGAGGAGCAGAGAGCCAGCGCTGCTTTCTTGCAGAGTCAGAATCTTTTCCCATTGTAACATCCTAGACAGCATACTAGTGGGGACCCCCATCGTGTGGTTTAGGGGCCTTTGAAATTCCTGCTGTGGTACCACTTCCCCTTGTTGTGATAGTTGAGACCCTCAACCTGTCTCTTAGTTCATTGTGTCTCTGACAGGCAGTTTTGGGGGAGGGCCTGTAGTAGCTTTGGGTGTTGACCTATATCTGCTCTGATGTCCCATTATCTGTGCAGAAGAGCGACTGACATTTGTCGGAGAGGATGACATCGAGGTAGAGATGCGGATTCCCCAGGAGTCTGTGAAGTTGATCATTGGCCGGCAAGGTGCCAATATTAAACAGGTAGGTGTGTGAAAAGGCTGTTGGCTTTCTCAGGGATTGATTTAATTTTTGATTTCTCATTCTCCCTCCTCTGCCCCTACCCCATAAAACACATCTGCCATATGTCCGAGGGTGAGCCAAACATTATCTGCACTCTGGTTGTAGAATTTATTTAAATTAACTTTTAGAAAAGACAAATACATCATTTTTCGACATAATCTCCTTGCTTTTGTCCACCTGTCAATAAGCTTTTCATATTCCCGTATTAAAAAATATTTTAGGCTGAACTAATCACAAATGCACTGCTGTCTTCACTTCTTCTTCAGAGGTGAAGTTTTGTCCTCCAAGGGCTGCTTTGAGGGTACTAAACAGGTGAAAGTCCAGTGGAATAAGATCAGGACTATAGGGAGGATGCCTTACCACCTCAAAACCAAGTTTTTTCAGAGTGTCAGCAGTGTGGACAGAGTTGTGTGGGTGGACATGCATTGTCATGCAAGATCACAGTGCCCTTGGATAGCAGCCCTCTGGGTTTAACCTGAAGTTTAGGCTTCAGCTCTTCAGTAAGCATCTTGTTATAATGAGCACTGTTGATTTTTGAACCTTTTTCCTGGTAGTGTTCCAGTACTGGCCCTTAAGAATCCCAGAAAACTATAAGCATCAATTTTCCAGCTAATTGACTTTTGAGAACTTTTTCTTGGTCAGTGATTAAGAATGTTTCCATTCCATACTCTACTATTTATTCTCAGGCTCGTAGTGATGAATCCGTGTCTCACCACCAGTAACAATTTTTTTTTAAAGAAACTTTTACCTTCCTTCAAGTATCAGTGTGAATGTTTGTAGATGTCCAAACGCGTCTGTTTATGCTCTTCCATGAGTTGTTTCAGTACCCATCACGCACAAATTTTCAAAAGCCAAGTCTGTCATGGGTTATTTCATAGGGAGAGCCATGGCTGACTGGCAAATGATTTGCCAGATAATCCACTGTCACTCATCTATTAGAAGCATTTCACGTGTACCCTCAATGTTGGCATCAGCCGTGGATGTGGACTGGCATGTTAATATAACTGGAGTGGAGATAATTGACTCATCCTCGTATTTAAAAAAAAAGGAACTTTGTAGTAAACTGTCCTATTTTCCTTCTATACATGTGTACCTCCCCCTAGAGTATGAATGACTTAGGTTGAAATAGGGCTTTTGATTGGATGCAAATCCACTCAACATAGCTGGAACCATTCTTTTCTTCTTGTAGAATTAATGTACTCTCATTAATTATCAGTAAATATTGAAATACTTCTGCCTGGTTCTTACCATTTTCCATTGTTCATTTGGCCCTACAAGAAAACAATTCATTTAATTTTCTAATTCAAATGAAATTAGGAAAAAATGGGTTCTGACTATAAAGAGAAACTATCTTGAATTAACTGCCATTTGGGTTACCTTTGTCACTAAGCTCCCTCCATATGAAGGGATTTCAAAAAGTACATGGGAAATTGATTTAAAAGATAATGGAGTTTCCCCACAAATTTTTTGAGGCCTCCGCCTCATAAGTACTAGAACATGAGGACCAATTTTAGCAACCTGATTTAGCTGATAGCTGTGGCCAACGCCACTTGCCCCCAAAGATTGTCTAGCTGGGCCTAAATGGGAAGACTTGGCAGAACTTCCATGTATCCTTTTCTCTGCAGCTGCGGAAGCAGACAGGCGCTCGGATTGATGTGGACACGGAGGATGTAGGTGATGAGCGGGTGCTGCTCATCAGTGGTTTTCCTGTTCAGGTGTGCAAGGCCAAAGCCGCCATCCGTCAGATCCTGACAGACAATAACCCAGTGTCTGAGCAGCTCTCAGTTCCCCAGAGATCTGTGGGCAGAATCATAGGTACCACTGCATGGCTTCCTCTCCGGTGTGCTCTGTTCTCTACCTGTCCTTTCACACCTTCTCAATAGCTTTCCGGGACCTACTTCCCCTTTACCTTCCTGAGAAAAGGAGAGGGGTGTTGAGACCAGAGCTTAATTTATTTATTTTATGGAACCATTAGTAGAATAAAAACCCATTACCCTGACAGGATCTGAAACTTACAGATAGGTAAAGGTTTCCGCATGGTTCAGATCAATGTATTTATCTCATAACAGATTATTAAAGGGAAGGATGTGCTCGTGCTTTAGCATCCTAACCTTTGAAGACGTTGCTATGAAGAGCACTTGTGTTTTCCCCTAGAACATTCCTTAGTTCCGCTGTTAGAAGCAGAGAAGCATCCTGTCCTTGATATAGTGTTCTGACACACCACATGGCATGGCATCCTATGAACTGAGAGTGGACAGTTTGGCCTATGACAATGGCATAAAGCAGCTAACTTAGCCAAAATATAGAATTCAAATAAACCAGGAAAAGTTCATCTAGAATTCCCCTTTCTACAGTTGGATTTCAATAGCTCCTGGCTTTCATCCAACATCATACATTTTATTCATTTTGATTATGAGAATTGACCCCCTTCTCCCTGTTTATTCAAAATAGTGACTTCTCTAGTAGGTTGGTGAGGAAAAGGATAGATATCTATGTATTGTTCAATGCAGGGAGAGGTGGCGAAACGATTCGTTCTATCTGTAAGGCCTCTGGAGCCAAGGTTACCTGTGACAAAGAAGCAGAAGGGACATTACTGCTGTCGAGACTTATAAAAATCTCAGGAACACAGAAGGAAGTGACAACAGCTAAGGCAAGTAGCTGATAGGCTAGAATTGAATTGTACCCAAGAATGAGAAGAACTCTTTATACTACCCTGGGTCAGAATATCTGACCATGTCGATATCATTTGTCCCCTTTCATTCCCACAGAATTTGATCCTGGAGAAAGTGTCAGAAGATGAAGAACTTCGTAAGAGAATTGCACATTCGGCAGAAACCAGAGTTCCACGAAAGCAGCCAATCAGTGTAAGAAGAGAGGAAGTGGCAGAGCCAGGTGGAACTAGAGAGCCAGCCTTATGGAAAAACACGAGTTCTAGCCTGGAACAGGCTGTACCACCGGCTCTCCACAAAGGAGGTGGCGACATGGCTGTTGTAGGGTCACAGCAAGAAGAAAGTTCCTGGGAGAAATTTAATGGTGCTGATGGCTTCGAGGAGGAGTCTGGAGCCCCAGCCAATCCAGAGATGTCCATGTTTGAAAGTACGTAGCAAAGTGAGAACCTGTTAGCCATAGGAAAGCTGGAAATTGTTGTTGTTAAGCGCTGTTGAGATAGCTCCAACTCATAGCAACTGGTGAGTTTGAATTGTTGACCTTGTGGTTCAAGCCAACGTGGCAGTGCCTGTCCTACAGCACCATACCCCAGGACACCAAAGAGGGAAAACTGGCTTTAAAAAAAGAATAAAACACTGCTGTCAAGCTGATTGGGACTCAAAGCCACCCGGTAGGCCAGCGTAAAAGTGCTCCCTAGGGCTTCCCAGGCTGTAATCTTTGCAGACTGCCACTTCTTTCTCCCACAGAGCACCTGGTAGGTTTGAAAACCACCAACCTGTCAGTTAGCAGCCGGGTGCTTAACCACTGGGACTCGTTAGGACCCGAAATAGGAAATAATCAAAAAGTTTTATTGTTTTGAGTACACTTTTAAGTTTGTCTTCTGCTTTTATGGCAATTTTGTACTTTAGTTCTTGTTAAGTACTAAAGCCATTGAGTCGATTCCGATGCATACCAACCTTCTGTAGAGTTTCCAAGGAGCGGCTGGTGGGTTTTAACCTCTGGCCTAGTGGTCCAGTGCATTATCCTGCAGCAAGCTAATGAAAAAACTGAGATAGAAATGTGCTGACTCAGGGAACCTAGTCTATGAGTAGTAATACATCAAATAATTGGATTTACATGGTATTCTTTCAAGTTAAAATATTCTGTGTAATTTTTCACCTTATTAACATTTTTTTTAATCTTCTCTCTTTAAGAAGATTGAAAGGGCTGTAAGATTCTCTTCTATGCGTAGGTTCTGGGATTGGCAGGCACACGAAGGGCCCCAGCTGGCTCACACACAGACTTGTCCACAGTCAATAAGGAGACCGTAGTAGGATGGGACCTGGAGCAAACCCAGTGTGTTGCTGTCCACATAAACTATTTTTCCACTGATCATGCTGCAGCTAGTCTAGGGAGGACTGACCCCATCATAGATGGGGACTGACTTAAACACATGGTACATGACCATGTGTAAGACTGTAAGCCCTCTTGCTCAGTTACATAGACAGGTACAGAAGAACACTTAGTACCTCTTTTTAAGGTAGTGGTCTTACATGATTCATCCAGTTGTCCCTCCAGCTAGCTTTAAAGTGATAGCAACCACTTGGTATTTTTGCCTCCCTCCCCATCCGCACCCGGTCTTCTCATTCCAGCCAGAGATGTTCTCACATGGCCCTCATCCTTTCCCTGTCTTCAGTCCCCAGTCCTGACTTCAGTTTCCATGCTGATGAGTACCTCGAAGTCTATGTCTCAGCCTCTGAAAATCCTGACCACTTCTGGATCCAGATCATCGGTTCTCGCAGCCTGCAGTTAGATAAGCTTGTCAACGAGATGACCCAGCACTATGAGAACAGTCTGGTGAGCTGCCCCAGGGATAGGGTTTATTGAAAAGGGAGCACAGTTTTTTCATGGTATAATATAGTTTCTTACTCATTCGTCTTTCCTTCTGGTAATTGTTGGTTTTTCTCCTAACTCTTCCCCCTTTCTAACTCCTCCACCTCATCTGTAGCCTGAAGACTTGACTGTGCGAGTAGGAGACATTGTCGCAGCACCTTTACCTACCAATGGGTCCTGGTACCGTGCCCGAGTCCTTGGCACCCTGGACAATGGGAACCTGGACCTCTACTTCGTTGATTTTGGAGATAATGGAGATTGCCCACTGAAAGACCTCAGAACTCTCAGGTCAGTCTCAGTGTGGGACCACGGCAGAGCCTACCTGGGAAGCCCAACTGTTGGCTCTGTCCCAGGGGAATTTGGAAGAGAAGCCATTTATAGAAAGCCTGTGAGTTAAGAATAAATCAAAAGTTACTGCTGCTCGGGCTCCACTTCATATATGCACCAGCTTATTCCAGACAAACCAGTGGACAACTGCAGACACGTTCTCTCAGTAATACATGGTCTTAGTCTCGTTAGGGTGCCTTCAAAACAAGGTCCAATCAAAACAGTGGCTTCTTAGGGGATCTGCTGAGCCAATTAAATTCAAATCTGCAAGGTCACTCAGAAGGTATGGGGACTTTTAGAGGGGATTCCAAAGAAGTAATGGTGATTATTGAAAGACAAAGGACAATCATGGGGGCTTAACAGGAAGCAGCTTTAAGAAAACTAAAAACTGCATTGGTGAAAAAAAAGCCAGAAAAGTTGCTTCAAGGAATTTTCTTTTCCATCACAATACACCTGCTCGTTCTTCAAGGGCTGTGAGGGCTGCCTGTCCTGTGAGAATTTCACTGGAAAACCTTACTCCAGCCAACTTACAACCCTGATCTTGCCCACCAGACATTTTTGTGCCCAAAACTCAAAAGAACATTTGAAAACATGATTTGAGTCCCTTGAGGATACCAAAACTGCCATTTTGACATGGAATAAATTAAAGAGTGCAGAATTCTTAGGGGAATGGTTAGAGAGATGGCAACATTACCTTCAGAAGTGTACAGACCTAGATGGGAGGATAATGTCGAGAAACAGTAGCTTCACATTTTGATAGTTTTGTTTAATGTTTTCTTTTTAGAGCAATATTTTTTTTACTTTCATATAATAAGGCTCTTCTGAGTCTAGGTTTCTCATTTAATTTCTTCTTTGACTTTAGGAGTGACTTCCTAAGCCTTCCATTTCAAGCAATAGAGTGTCGTCTGGCACAGATTGCCCCCTCGGGTAAGTTGGAAGAACTTCCCATACAGCACACGTGGAGAGTTCTCACATTCCTGAGGGTTTTAAAAGGTCCTAGAGACTCAGATACCCTGTCTTTCCTGCACTATCAGCAGCAGTCGCCAGAAACATGCCTGGAAGTCAGACCCACCCTAACCAGAGAAGACACCGGCATAGGTGTCTTCTAGAGTAGAAAGCAGTAGATCCAATTGCTTTCCAGGGTGTGATCCCCACCCCTCTCAGCACTGACTCTTCTCAGGCCCTCCCCTACAATCTTTTGCCTAGGTGAACAGTGGGAGGAGGCGGCTTTGGACGAGTTTGACAGACTCACTCACTGTGCTGACTGGATACCTCTGGTGGCCAAGATCTCTAGCTATGTCCAGACTGGGGTCTCAACCTGGCCGAAGATCTACTTATATGATACTAGCAATGGGAAGGTAAGATTGGGGCTCATTCACTCCTCATTTCCTCAGTATACTCGTGGCCTCATTTCCTTTTTCTTTCCCAGAAACTCTTCTATTACTCCTCCTACCTTGCTTACTGTCCCACCCATACCCAAAAACTCACTGTTGAGTCTGTTTTAACTTACAGTGACCCCATAAAACAGAATGGAACTGTGCCGTAGGGTTTCTGAGGCTGTAAATCTCCACAGAATCAGACTGCCTCATCTTTCTTCTGAGGTACAGCTGGTGGGCCCAAGCTACCGACCTCTTAACACTTAACACTCTGCACCACCAGAGCTCCTTACAGCACGTCTTTAAAGGATCAGTCTTAACTCCTTTGCCATCTTTGCTCAGATTTGTTCTTTGCCAAAACAACATCATTTCCTTTTTAATTTCTTTTTCTCAGAAACTTGATATTGGATTAGAATTAGTTCGCAAAGGCTATGCAATTGAGCTTCCTGAAGATGTGTTAGACAACAGAGCTGTCCCTGAGACGTTGCAGAAAATGGTGAGATATGAGCCATTTAGTCATTCTTTGGGGCAAATGTGAAGCATTAAGAGGCATGAGGGTTTCTAGTCATGGCATTCATAGAGAGCGTTCCTAAGGGCTCTCAGAATTGCTCCACAAATGACTCACGTGAGGGAGGCATGTAGCCCTCTCAACTGTCTGGCTGGATGATAGCTTCTCCCTTCCCATCAACCAACAACATTTTTCCCATGTTTCTCTCCTGTCAGGCCACAGAAACAGATGTCTCTCTAGGCAGCTTGCTTACTGAGACCAAGAGCCCTGGAGAGATTGCACATACCCTATCCTGCCTCAGCTTATCAGGTACAAACAGCATTTCCCCTCATATGTCTTTGTAGGCAGCTGTCTCTCAATATTTCCAAACTTAGGAAGGTTATGGCTTGATTCTTAGCCAGGTCATTGAGCACAGGAGGCCTGTTTTCCCCTGGGCCTTTGTGGCTGTGCCTTTGAAAGCAGGACACTGTCTCCCTCTCCTCACTCCTTCTGCTCACTAGAAGCAGCCTCTGTGTCTGGGGATGATAACCTTGAAGATGACTACGTATTCTGAAGTCCATGCTTCCCCTGACTTGGCCATCTGCTTTGCTGTGTGAGTGGAACTATCATCTCTCTATAGCAACAGGAAAGTAATGAGGGGTGACAACAGGGCCCCTTCCCCATGCAGCACCTCAGTATTCTTTGAAGCGACTTTCCTGCCCCTTAACTTGCTCTCAGATTGTACCCTCTCAAGCTTTCTGTGTTTTTGTGTCTTGGGCAGGATTTGACCCTGGAAAGAGGCAACTATGATCAAGAGGTCCCTGCAGTGCCTCCTCTGTCAAACATGGTCTGGCTTGCTGTGGACCACCTGCATTTTCTACTTCCCCTGAACAAGCAGAAAGTAGGGGTGGGGGTGGGGTAGAGATAAATGCATCCTTCTCCTTTTCCTGCCCCCTTCTCAGCGTTTGAATACTGCTGCATTCCTTCCAGGCTGCTCTGCACTGGGCATCCCACCCCCAATCCCCACCAGCCCGCTGGCCCGGCCTTATCACAGTGCACGTTACTGCTGGGCTGTGTCCTTTTGAGGCTGGGAAGCAGCCAGGGCTGTGGGCATTGGGAGTGATGACTCTGCAGACATCTGACTCTGGTTAAGGGAAGTTTGGGGACTCCAAGACTGCAGTGAGTCAGGAAGAACCAGCAGAAATTAGAATAATTGTGTTGAACAGTCAAGGGAACTGGGGGGAAAAATAGTGCCTCTCAGCTTCAACTGCTGATATGCTACTGGAGACAAGGGTCTTTGAAATAGTGCTCCTGTTATTTGCCTGTAGACTGGTTAAAATACAAGTAGAAAGAAAGAAAAGAGGCTCAGGAAGTATTCTAAATTGCTATTATAGTATTATGTGTATCCGTACACACACACACCTACAGTGAAAGGCAGACACATATGACTGTTTAAATCGTTTGGGGGGATTCTTTGCTGAATAAAGTTCTCAAGAAAATGTTCTAAAACAAAATGATTATGGGTCTAAAGGTGAAAGCAGGCCTTCTGAGACTAAAATCTGGTGAAAATTGCCAATACCTCAAAAAGAGGGCCCATCTGCAAAGCAAGTGTATACACTCATACTCTTTCTCCACAGTTAAGTGCCACGGAGTCGGTTCTGACTCATAGCCACCCTGTGTAGCATTTCCAAGAAGCAGCTGGTGGATTTGAACCGCCAACCTTGCAGTTTACAGTCCAGTGCTGATCCCACAGCACCACACTAGGATTCCAGGGATCAGTCAGGTCTACCTTTAATAATAAGGCACTGTGGTAGCATAGTGTTTATGAATCAGTCAGCAGTTCGAAACTACCAGTGTTCCAAGGCTTTCTGCTCCCATAAAGATTTACAGCCTCGGAAACCCTATGTAGGGTTGGTCGCTAGGAGTCAGAACCAACTCTACAGCACATAACCACCACCTTTAATAATACATGACACCTATATCGCAAACCCAAACCCACTTCGAGTTGATTCTGACTCATAGCGAATTGACCCTGTATAGGGTTTTCTAAGACTGTAAATCTTTACAGGAGTAGACAGCCTCATCTTTTTTCCCCAAGGAGTAGCTGGTGGGTTTGAACCATCAACCTTGTGGTTAGCAGCCTGACACGTAACACCTAACAGTGAAGTGCCACTGAGTGGGTTCCAACTCATAGCAACCCTGTATAGGGGCTCCGAGGAGCAACAGGTGAGTTTGAACGTCTGACCTTATAGTTCAAATAGAGTTTGCAGTTGAGTGCTTATCCTACAGTGTGCCATTCCACACCACTAGGGCTCCTTATAGCCTCTGGGTTTTCTCAGAAAAGTCTTGAGAAGACCTAGTAGTTAAGTCTATAGTGAGGAGAAGTGGCTCTGGTGGTGGTCTTGCAGGACTCCACAGGGGAGGCCTGCATTGACTTGAGATTGACTTGCCCTTTGGTGCTGTGAACTGAATTTACTAAAGCCTGTTCTGCTCCAAGATTGGTGCTCCCCTACACTACAGGTTTGTGAGACCATTTAGTCCTATCTCCTCAGTGCCTGGGAAGTCTTTCTCTGATGTTCCCCCGACCCACCCAGTACAAATCTTTCATAGGACCTCCTGCTTTAGAGAATGAACAGTGCCTCCTTCCTCGCTGCAGTCCTGACCGTACTTTGACCCTTTTAGTCGATCATTTGCCCTTCCATCACAACCCTGTATTTTTCCTAGTCCTGGAGAACCCACTTCTATACTACTACTTGTTTTGTCTGTTGTGATCCCCTCGTTGAGCCCCTACCAGAGGGATCCATGAAACTCTGCTTTCTTTTCCATCCAGAGAGAAGTAATTAACACTTGTTTCCAGTTTGAACTCTGGTGTATGGATTAAAACGGCCCAACGAGGCTTATTCTATTTGCATCCCTTAATGCTTGAACCTTGCCCTTGGCAGATGCTCAGTAAATAATTACTGAATAAGGAAATGGCTTTAGGGCAGAGGTGAAGGCCAAAGGAACCTAAAACCCTTGGGTCCCTTCCCTTTCTGGTTCAGGTAATCATTTCATGCTTTTCTTACAATGAATTCAGCACTGTACAGCTTAAGTTCCACTGTCCCCCCCAGGAAACAAAACACTGGAAGATTGCACTACCCTTTATTCCAAGGATGGAGGAAGGTGTCCTGAATCACATCCCGGACTCCTGGTTCTCATGTCAGGGCTTCCCAGCCCCTCACAGAGTACGAGTAAACATGTTCAGGGAGGCTCACTGGGTGGGTGGCCAAGGTCCCTTTCAAGGGGGTACACCATAAAGATGACATTGTCCCAGGGAGGGAGGGCAGGGTGGTCGGGTCTGACCACCTCAAAGCCCATGTAGCTGAAGGCCCGCAGTAAGGCACCTGTGGAATAAGGAGAGAACAAATGAGTGGAATTCTCTGGAGCTCAGCACCCTAGCGATTGGTCTCTTCCACTAGAGAACAGCCCACGGGGGAGGGACTACGACAGTGTGGTGCAGCCATCAGGATGCTGTGTGCTTGAGGCTCACAGACCTAGATGCAGGTTGGCTTCTAAACCTGTGTTCTCATAAAATGGGGATCATAGAACCTCACAGACCTGAAGATTAAATGGGATGTGTATGAAGTGTTTTGACACGATGGTGGCATGGTACCCTCTCAAACATTTATGAATGGTTGACCATCCATTGTTTTATTTCTAAAAATACATAAAGGGAAGAGGGAGAGGGAGTTTTGATAATAGAGGCTTCAAGCATCTAGTTAGATTTCCATCTTGGCATTGTGCTTGATACATGGGAGATCCCATCTGCCCTATCAACTAACTCCACCCTTTGAATGGGCTCTGCCATTTCACCAGTGTCCCTTCAGTCTCAGGAAAAAGGTGAGGCTTTCTGACTGCATGGCACATCACCCCCCTTCAGCCTGGTCTGAGACCCTCCCACAGGGGCTTCCTGATAGTCCAGTTTTTAACTTGAAGGAACAAAATGCTGGGTGCTTTAATCCCTCAAAGAGTGGGAGGAAGAGGATCCTCCCACAAAGGAAAAAGGAACCCTCAGCTGCTTCAGCACAGCGCAAGGAAGGACAGAATCCCCACCTTTATCATTCCGGTTCTTTTGGAAGTTCACAAACACAGAGTCCACATTGGTCTTCTCCTCCACGTACTCCAGCGTTGCAGTCAAGCTAGGGGCCAGAGAAAAATGACTAATGTTTAGCCAACTCAAAATCTATTTGGAGCAGAAGAAATCTGACTGATCAGTTTTTACTTTTCACCCAAGCAAGGAAATGGAAGTTGCCAGACTAGTTTTGGTGGATCTTTCTCTGGACCCAAAGGATTGCGAGCTATGAAGGGGTGGAGGACTGCTCTATAAAAGAAAACAGCTGAAGGCATGTCTGTTTTCACCTACCATAGACTGTCCCCTGAGCCCCAGGCCCCAGCTTAACTCAAACTTGTCTGCATGTGTCCAGCTTCTGAATCAACCCTCACTGGTCCATAGCCCCACTACCTGATTGTGACACGAAGGGTGAAGTTCCCTCCCCTTTCTCTCACCACACTTCCTCCCAGGTTCAGTCACCTTTCCCGGTTGCCTTGATCCAAGGCCCGATGTGGGATATCCAGGAAGAGTCTGTGATCACAGAGAAGGCCGTGCCAATGGGCAGAGGTCTCGGGGGTGAGGCGGAAGTGGAAGTCTAACTGTACTGGGTATTCCTGGAGCAGGGGGTCAGTAGCTAACACCGTCAGGTGGCCATCCTGGAGAAAGTCAGCAGTGGAAATGAGTGTTCAGCTAGTTCTCAGCAGAATCAGTTCTCCAACAGACGTATGTAACAGAGGTATATAAGTAGGTGAGGAGGCTGATGGGAAGCCTGGGAGTCTTTAAGTGCCATCAAGTTGGTTCAGACTAGGCAACCCTGTATTTCTGAGACTTTTTAAATCTGTGGGAACAGCCTCTTCTTTCCCACCCCCCGAGGGGCAGCTGGCAGGCTTAAACCATGGACCTTGTGATTTCCAGTCCAGTGCTCATCTTATGGAACCACCGTGCTCCCAGGAGTCTTAGAGACACAATAATATCCCTTAGTCCTAAACTGAAATCACCATCTTTTTATGGTTGGTCTTTATAGGAAACTAATGTGGAATCACCCCAAGGGTACATTAGCACCTCAGAAACTTACAAGCATTCAGTCAGCAATGTGTCCGTTTACTCTTTAAACAAAGGTGTACCATCTATTCTTACTGATAATATGTGTCCACTGTTTCTCATCATGTGGATATTCCCTAAATTCTCCCATTTTTACTTTTTACATTCACAACTAGGTATCTTACTGTAATGAAATACAAACACCAGAGTTGTAGTCCCAGTTTAGCATCTCAATAATGTTATTTATATCCTGGAAGTCTTTATAGACTGCTCCACTTTGCTCCAACTTCCATTTCCCCACCCTGCTTCTTACCACCAGCAGTATGACCCTGGGGCCCTGGTGGTACCACCATTAAGTATTTGACTGCTAACCCTCCAGATGTGACCCTTGATTCTGTTAAGATGACAGTGTTGGAAAGCTTACAGGGCAGTTCTCAGTCCTGTAAGGTCACTATGAGTCCGAATTGACTGGATGGCAACAGTCTGGTGTGGCCTTAAGATCTCTGGGCCCAAATCCTTGTCTATACATATAAAGCTTTCACACGGAAGTTCCAAGGTCTCATCTAGCTCTAATTTTCTTTCATTCATTTCCCAAATACCTAATATCCCTCCTCCACAGGGTATCACTGTACACTCAAACCTGTAAGAGTTAGAACCTGTGTAAGGCATAAACCTGTCAGAAAAGGAAAGCACAACAATTCCCCACTAATAGGAATGGCCAAGTGCTAAGGCTGTTTCCTGTCAGAGGCCTAAAACTTGTGAGAACCAGAAAGAACTAGGCAGTCCCACCAAGTACCAGCTCTCAGGTTGCACTGTACAAACAAGGAGCTGCCCTTGTCCCCGTACCAGCCCACTCACCGAATACACTTCTTTAAGTGGGTTGAGGTCGCCCTGGTCAGCGCTTCTGCCCACCTGGAGACCTGCTAGGGACTCAGGAGCACTGAAGGCAGGAACGGGGCCGAAGTGTCAGGTCCTCCCGTTCCTTATAAGTGATGCTGGTTGAGAAAAAGAGGCTCAAATTAGTTCATTTCAGGGTCTGGGCAGGGGAAAGGTTCATAGTTCAACAAACCAAACCCTAATGTCATATTTTCAGTAACAAGGTGGAACAGCCTGAAGGCCAGATGGAAAAATTTTAAAGCTCTACGCCAGTCTTCCCCGCTTACTTTGCTCTTATCACCTCCTGCCACCTGGAAAGTTCTTTCAAATTCTTTTTATTTTTCCTTACAATCTATATTACAAGTAAGGAAAACAAGTACCTTTTACAACAACAAGGCAGCATCTTCTCCCGGAGGGTGATCCGGTATTTGTAACAGTAAAGGTAGTAGGCGTATGGGGACCAGATCGGATAGTGGTGGTTCCGTGTTTTTCCCTTCTTGATATAAGAAAGGGAGTAAACAGAGGGGCGTGACTTGTTACAAGGCAGTTTCTCAGTTCAGTGCCTCCCTACGGCAAAGTGAGGTCCAGAGCTGACTGGGAGAGGTTCAGGCAACCTGGTGTGATTGTGACCCGGTGGGCACTGTGACACAGACAAGGGGTCAGTCCTTAAGTCACTCCAGAACTTCACACTGCTGCTCCCCTACACAACCCTCTCCCCTTAACACAGTTCATGTTGAACTATACATGCACTATACAGCAGGGCCGGTGGTGCACATGTCTGTTTGGCAAACACGGGACGTTCTCTGCTGGAGAGTTTCAGTCTACCTTACCCTGCCCCACTTTTCCCGCAGTGTATCCACTAAAGGCTTGGTATTAGATGTAGCTTCAAAGGCCCTACTCCAGCATCTGACCTGACTGGGGTTCCCAAATCGTTCCCAAATCCTTCTGGTTGTTAAGTGCCATCCAGTTGGTCCTGATTCATAGACACCCTGTATAGGGTTTCCAAGGAGCAGCTGGTGAGTTTGAACTGCCAACCTTGAGATTCAAACCGACCTTGTTCTCAGTTACTAGCTTATCCTACAGTGCCTCACCAGGCCTCCTACAGCTGTTAAATATTTTTATCATCCATATCCTTAACAACCCAGGGTGATGCAGATGGTTCCACTTTGTCCATTGCCAAGTAGGGTAGGTATTATTGCAAATGGAATGCTTTAGGGGCCAGGAGAGTTCATGAAAATTAGGGCAGCTGTAGGATGGGGCTGTCAGAACACGGAAAGCCCACACCCTGTCCAAAAGACACAACTCAGTACCATCCAATTCTTGCCATGAAGGAATGTGGACTTGGTATCAGACAGTGTGTTTCAACAAAACTGGCAAGAATTTGGTAAATTTCTTTAAAATATATACATTAAGTGCCATCAAGTTGGTTCTGACTCATAGCAACCCTGTAAGATTTCCTAGCAGCTGCTGGTGGATTTGAACTGCCAACCTTCTGGTCCACAATCCAGTGCTAATCCTACAGCGCCACACCAGGAGTCCATACACTTACACACACATGCCCCAAACCCAACTTGCTGTCCTGGAGTTGATTCTGACTCATAGTGACTCTGTATGTTGTTGTTATGTGCCGTGGAGTCAGTTCCGACTCCTAGCGACCCTGCACAGGGTTTCCAAAGCTGTAAATCTTTACAGGAACAGAAAGCCTCATGTTTCTCCCGCGGAACAGCTGGTATTTTCAAACTGCTGACCTTGTGGCTCACAGCCCGATTTGTAACCACTATGCTACCAGAGCTCCTTAGCAACTCTGTGTAGGATTTCTGTAGAGGCTGTAAATCTGTACGGAAGCAGAAAACCTCATTTTTCTCCAGTAGAGCTGCTGGTGAGTTTGAACAGTCCACCTTGAATTTAGCAGTCTAACGTTTATCCTACAGTACCACCAAGGTTCCTTACTTACATACACCACATGCTACTAATTTATGTATAAATTTAAAAAAGCTGTTGGTAAAAAAAAAGCATTGTAAGATTTGGTTCTGTAACCCATCAGATTGAAACCTCTGCATGTTCACTCATTCATTCACTCAACAACCATTTAAGTGCCTGCTCTGGTGTGGTGCTGTTGGATTCACATTGGACTGCTAACCAAAAGGTTGGCAGTTCAAACCCACCAGTCGCGTCTAAGAAACGCTATAAAGATGGCTATGAGGCGATTAAAGCTCATCAGAAGCGTCTTGAAAACCCTATGCAGACTTGCTGAGTCAGAACAGACTCGAAGGCACTTAACAACAACAAAGTGTGACCTGTAGGATCTGCCCTGGACTGGAAACCCTATACAGGGTCCCTATAAATCACAACGTAGTAGGCAGCAATTGTTAAATAGGCTTCATTGAAAAGGTGGCAAAGACTTGAAGGAGCAGACTCTTGGGTTCATCCCATTTGGTTGTACTGAGTCCCTCTGCAGTACTGAGTCCCTCAACAGAGGGAATCACCTGGCTCCTACCAGTTTCCTCTTCCTTTGGCTTATATCTCCAGAGTTTAGAATTCATCCTTAAATACGTATTAGCTTAAGTACTGGGCCGCTATATAGGATAAACACTGAACTGCTAACCACAAGATCGGTGGTTCAAGCCCACCATGGAAACCCTATACAGGATCCCTATGAATCGGAACCCTCTCGACAACACTTAACAGTTTAAGTACTACAGTGGCGCTGTGAGCTAACGCTCTGGACTGCGAAGTCGCTTCACTGTAAAGTTGATGGTTCAAGCTCACCAGAGGCTCCTCGGAAACCCTATACAGGATCGCTATGGGTCGGAACCTACTCTAGGCACTTAACAAGTCTCTTTCTCCAGGGATTGACATGGTTTTGCAAAAGAATCCCATTTCCCCACTACTTTTAGGTAGATTTTCAGTTTTATTTTAACGGGAGCTGCTGCTTTTCCTCACGAACCAGTTATTGTAGAACGTCAGAACTGGAAGTGACCTTAGGCAACAACGAGAGCTGAACCGAAGACCCCATAGTAAAACGAAGCCAAGAGGGAAATTCACGTGACAGTCCATTAACCACCAAGGAGCAATTAGCTCCCATTTCACTGTGCCGGCCACGAAGCTGCCTCGCGGCCCCGCCCCTACCCAGCGTATGAACGGCGCAAGCCAGCTCAGGCGCGCCACGGGCAGCCCGGCTGGGTCTTTTCTGCCGCCGGGCGCCGGGGTTCTTCCTCGCCCTACCTGCTGCGGGGGAACATGGCCGCCGCAGCAATCGCAGCCCCGGGCAGAGCTCTCCTGCGGGTAGGCGCCGAGCCTCTTCTGCGAGGAGGCGTTCGGGAGCTATTCTGGCCGCGACTTGGAGCCGGTAGCCCTGGCGTGGAGCGCGATTTCAGCCTTTCTCACAATCGGGTGAGGGCCAGGTCGGGTTTTAGGGGCCCTGACCCCGGCGCAGCTATTTATGCCCTAGTGTCTAAGTCGGAATCGATTCGATGGCAGTGGGTTTTATTTCCTGGGGCGTTGGGACCTGGTCGGACCCCAGGAGTGGCAGGCTCTCCTTGAGGTGCCGGCGACCTGAGGAGGGGAACGGTCCGGTCCGATGGAGGCTCGCTCACCCTCGGCTCCCCGCTCGCCAGGGCACAGTCATTGTGGAGCGCTGCTGGAAGGTGCCACTGGCCGGGGAGGGCAAAAAGCCGCGCCTGCGTCGGCGACACCGCGTCTACAAGCTGGTGGAGGACACAAAACACCAGCCCAAAGACAAACTGGAACTCATCCTTACGCAGTCTGTGGACGGTACAGTATGGGGGGTCACTTCCTATCTCAGACTGCATCTGTTTGGTGTCAGCTTTTCCCTGCCCTCCCAGGTCAACTCTACCTTGTGGGAATAGTCAGCTATAAAGAAGCTATAAAGAAGCTATGGCATTGGCCTTTTGCATGGAAAATTAAAACAAGATTGCAGAAACAGCAGTAACAGGATATGGGGAGACAGGCTTGATGATTTGAGGCACAGATAATCTAATTCTAATTCTCAATGCCTCACTCTATATAGAGAATATTAAATTTCTCAATCCGGTCCTAAATGAATTACTTAGAGGGCTCTTAATGTTACTCCTGGTGACTATGAATTACCATTTCTTCTGCGAAGATTTAAGCACTGTAGTGAATAAAAAGTACTTCCTTCTCTGATAAGATTTTCTTTAGGGACTCCTAGATAATGTTCTTTGTCCATTGTCTCTCTTATTCTCATTGGCAGAACTTGGAGTCCGAGGTGACCTGGTTTCAGTAAAGAAATCTGTGGGGCGTAATCAGCTCCTTCCTCAAGGACTGGCTGTCTATGCATCCCCGGAAAACAAGAAGCTATTTGAAGAGGAGAAATTGGTACGCTCAAAGGAAGCGATGAGAGACTTGGAAGAATAAGAAAAGATTGGTTGTTTAGTTTTGCTTTTATATTTAATTTGAAAATCTAGTAGGGACTGAAAGACCAAAATTCAAGAAGCCCTGCCATGCCTATTTCAGTAATAGTTTGATATCATTTACTATGGCTTTTTTATTTTACTGTTTTTTCATAATTAACTTTCTTTTCTAGCTGAGAAAAGAAGGAAAATTAGAGAGGATCCAGACCAAGGCAGGTGAGGCGGTGAGTAAAAGCCTTCTTTACTGATCATATACAGAAGTCACCAGCCTCTTCTTGAATGTCTTCCTTATTTCTCCGAAGTTGCCTGATTCAGACATTAGAGTTGGAGAAAGAGAAGGTGTTGTGGTGGCTGAAATTGGTATGGTAGCAGATCCTGACTTGTCAGGTGAAATGCCCTCACTTACTGAGAAAGGCCTCATCCCAGGCTCTGGGAAGCCCATGAAAAATGAGATGAGGGCTCTGCCCTCTGAGATATTTACATGCAGGTTAGAAATAAACACTTAAGAGGGTGATCAATAAATTCAAATCAGTAAATTATAAAAAGTGTTGTAAACCATAACGGTCTGGGGTGTTTGGGGAGGGCTTTGTGGACAGAGGGGTTGAATTAGGCCATGAATTGGTCAACATCTAATAAGAACGAAGGATGGAAAAGATATTCTTTAAGATAGCAAAAGTATAAGAAATTCAAGGCATATTTTAACATAGAAAGTATGGCAGTCTTTTGGAGCCTCCAAGACGATAGCCCTCAGACATCCTTCAACCTAGAACTGAACCCACTACTAGAGGTCCCCCTTCAGCCAAGCATTAGGTCTATAATGTGAACAGTAATACCTGCAAGGAACATGCTCCTCCAAACAGTCAACCATATGAGGCCAACAGGCAGCACTTGCCCCCAAACAAACTTTAGAATACAAGAAGTGACAGGAAAGATGGGTGAATAGAAATGGGGAACACAGGGAGGAAGTGGGGAGGTTGTTACATTGAGGGAATTACAACCAATAACACATACAAAATATATATAAATTGTTGAATGGACAACTTAATTTGCTGTGTAAACTTTCACCCAAACCACAGTGTTTTTAAAAATGAAAAAAAAAAACACAGAAGTCTAACAAACAGAGTATTTGTATAGTATGATATTTGTAAACATGGTAGGAGGTTGGGACCAGATTGAATGCTTAGCTAATGTATTTGTAAATTCTGTGAGCAGGGAAGAGCCACTGCTAGTAGGGTTGGAATGGATTTGCAGGACCAGAAGTATTGGGTTAAAACATTCTATAAAAAGTCATTCTATCCTGAGTTAAATCAGTGATAAACCTGATTTTGACATGGCCTGTTTCATAGGTGGCTGACTGCCTATGTGCTGTCAAGTCAGTTCTGACTCATAATGACACTGTATAGGGTTTCCAAGACTATAAATCTGAGACCAGAAAGCCTCATCTTTCTCCCGTGGGACACCTGATGGACTTGAACTACTGGCCTTGTTGTTAACAGCCCAACGATTAACTCACTATGCCACAGGGCTCCTTAAATTATAGGTAGCGTCTCCCTGTAAAGTTCTGCTAAAACATCTTTGCACAGTATCGCCCCCTGAGACAATAAGAATGTTCTAGCCTTCCCAAAAGGTGTTATCTTCTTAGCAGAGGCCAAAATTAATGCTCTTTTTCTGAACTCTCAGACCTTGTGCCTCTTACTAACATGTTTTATCCCCTTTGACTCCAACTCTAACCTAGCCCCTATTTGTAATTTGTTTCAGACAGTGAAATTTCTGAGGAGCTGCCACCTGGAAGTGGGGATGAAGAACAATGTCAAATGGGAGCTAAACCCTGAAATAGTTGCCCGACACTTCTTCAGGAACGTGAGTTCCGCCCAACACCACTATACCCAGGGGTACTGTCTCAGAGTCATTTCCTTTGTTAGGAAAGGATATATCATCCAGCTGGAGTTAGAATGAACCCCATTGGTTTATAGGGATGTGGGAAGAGAATAGCTGAGAACTAAGAGGTGGGTTCATAGAATTTGTAGATTGACAGGATACAATGGTAGTTTCATTTCCTCTCTTGTTGTTAAGTGCTGCCAAGTCAGTTCAGCCTCATAGCAACCCTGTATAGAGTTTCTGTGGAGCAGCTGGCGAATTTGAACTGCTAACCTTGCAGTTCAAGCCAGCCTTTTGAGGAAATGTGACACATTAGCGAATTTTTACTTTTACGGACGAAGTTATTTTTGTGTCAAACCCTGTTTCTCTCTGAAAACCTACCTCTCCTCTTCTGAGAAATTAGTTTGAAACAAGATTTTCTCTGTTACCATCTTTGGAGGTCTCTGTCAGCCCACAGGGTCAGCTGTAGGAAATTCTAGAAACCTCTTTATGAAGTTTCTTACAGTGACAGCCATGAGAACAGAGGTCATTGCTGCTATAATCTTTTTCAGCTTGGTGTTGTGGTAGCTCCCCATACAGTAAAGCTGCCAGAAAAACCCATCACACGGTGGGGCGAATACTGGTGTGAGGTGACGGTGAGTGTTGCACATACTGCCTCCTTTCCAACTGAGTGGAAAGCTGGGTTGGGTAGTGTTACCTCTTATCTGTAGATTGGACCCTGAAGATTCCTATTGTTTTGTCTACAGGTAAATGGACTTGACACTGTGAGGGTGCCGATGTCTGTGGTGAACTTTGAGAGGCCAAAGACCAAAAGATACAAGTACTGGTTAGCCCAGCAGGCTGCCAGGGAAACGGCCTCCAAAAGTTCACAAATCCTCTGACCTTCCCTTCCTCCAAAGCAGCCCAATGCCTTCAGGAACCCTGTGTTCTGCAAAGCGGAATCAGAGAAGCCGTGCAATAGAGATAGGCCAGCACGCTGATCTCGCTCCCTGCTCTGACTCAATATACAATTTTAGAGTCCATATGGGGACAGCAGACTAAACTGTACAGCCATATTCATCATCTCCATTTTGGACTTTTCTTCACATTGGGACAGTCCTGCTCAGGAAGTACCAAGCTGTAAGTTTGATGAGCTGGACATCAATGGACAGAAGCAGTCCAGAGCCCACCTAGTCTCTCCTCCATTGGAACTAAAAAGAGCTAGTCGTTGTCCAGTATTTAGCTCATTCTCATCACACAAACCAAACATTTGTTTCTCAAAAAGAAATAAAAGAGGTTATGTTCTTTGTAGATGTTGGTTACTGGACTTGAGTATGAAAGTAGACTGGGGACAGGACTTCCAAGTGAGTAACAGACTCAAGCCACTGATCTTTGCTGCTAAAAAGAAGAAAGTGTATACATTATTAGCAGGCTGCACTCCTTGTTAGGACTAACAAGCTGGTATACTGAAAGGAATGCTGGTGGTATCAAGGGAAGAAGATGAGGCTGTTGATCCTATAAAGATAAATGATCTTAGAAACTCTTCAGGAGTAGTTCTGCTATGTCCTATATCACTATGAGCCGATATTGACTCCACAGCAGTGGGTATAGTTATACTGATAAAGTTACTAACATAAAACACTTCTCTAGGAAGATTGTGGTTTATGTTAGTAACTATCAACCACAAAGTCAGAGGTTTGAGCCACCAGCCACTCTGGGAGAAAGATGAGGCTTTCTACTCCCACAAAGATTTACAGCCTCAGAAAACTTACACAGGATTGCTGTAAGTTGGAACTAACTCAACAGCACCTAAAGTTTTGTTACCCAGCACCTGAAATTCTGAAAAAGAAGATAACTTGGGGGTTCTAGTCATTGTGTCTTGATGGGAAATTGAGGATTCATTAGTTTGAAGAAAAAAAAAAAACCACTATCCATTGACAAGTTGGATTGTGCGTTTGTGAGGTCACACAATTTAGGGAAGGTAAAAGTGGGACCATTTACTCCTTTGCTATCCTTACGAGAAGTCCAGAAAGATTGGTTTCTACCCATCCTCTGAGCTCACCTACCACCCAGAACCATTTAATCACTTTCACTTTTCATTCAAGTGAGGACATCCCAACAAATGAGGGGTCTGTCATTATCAGCAAGTAGTTGCATCGATAACTAAATCCCACTTCACACTTAGCAGAACTCTGTAACTCAAGTCTGGCACTAGTACTATATGAAATTTACTACTGCAGTGATCTTGTCCCTCCTATTGTTGAAATAACATTTAATTCACCGTCTCCCCACCCTACCATCACTATCATGAAGCTCTCTGAAATTAACCCATCAGGCACATTTCATACAGTTAATCTCAGGACACTAAGTATTTGCCACATCTTGAGTTCTTGGTGAAACACTTAGGTGGAGATTTATGTCCAAGAAGTTTACTAGGAGAGTCCTCAGGATTAATACTCGTGGGAGAGAGAAGGGAGCGGGGTGGGATAAGGGATGAAGTTGAACTAATGCAGTCTCAACAAGGCCTCTGCAGATCCCACTAGGATAGCTCCACAGAAATGTGCCCTACTAAGACAAGTGGGCAAGGCCTGTGTATGCCCATGTTAACCAGGAAAGGATGTGACCTTGGATCACGTGGTTGTCCAGCCAAAATCTGTTCCCAGAGCAGGGCTCAGATGAAAACTGTCAGACACCAGCATTAGTAACATGGGGGATGAGTGTGTCAGTGTCCACTACAGTCTACCTCTTGTATTACTGAGATCATTTGCTTCATAAATTCTGAGATGGTTCCCATAGATCACTGATTGGCCTCTTCCTGGGAAAACTTAGGAGGATTCTGCTATAGCTTGTAAAGACTGCAACTGGTGTTCATCATCTCCGTCTCCTACTGGTTCTAAATTCTTCCATCCCTCACCTTGCACTTTTGCTAGACCATGTGGGTAACCCAGTGAGGTGACTCAGACCCTAATCTCAGAGCCCCCTGGGCATCATGCTCTTCTCTGGCCATGACTACTGTACTAGTCCATTTGCCATCAAAATTGGGCAAGGGAATAGCAAGAGATACCTAAGTAGATGAGCTTGGTGCCAGATAAAGTATTCTCTGCCCCCATTTTGTAATAACAACCTACATTCTTAATGTTTAGTGTCAGTTATTCCTGCAAGGATGGTGACTCTTACCTCCTAGTTTCTAGGTGGAGACTGGTGTGGTTCTGTTGAATAAGTACTGGACTGCTAACCACAAAGGTGGTAGTTCAAACCCACTAGCCACTCCTGAAAAGCCCTATACAGGGTTGCTATGAGTTGGAACAGACTCAACGGCGCTTAACAACACAATAGTCTCTAGGTATGAGAAGCCTGAAGGAACTTGTGGCAACCAGAGCTTAAAGTTAATGAGACTGTCAATTTGGCAGAAATATTTCCCCTTTGAGAAAGAAAAAACTTCTAAACCCTTAGAGCCCAAAGACACAATTTGCCCTTCCCTACTTCAACCCTTCTCTCCCAGATCCATGTTTTTAGGAATATGTTATGTGCCTCATCCCATGGCTCAACTGTATTTCCAGTAGGCTGTTCAAATGATCATATCAAGTGGGTAGCTTCTGGATAGGATGGTATCTCATCAGACCAGTGGATGCAATGGTAATGTACTTAGTGCTTTATCTCCTTTCATGTAAAGTTGGTCTCTTGATCCAACAATATTATGAAAGATTCCATGCTGGTGATCAAATATTCTAAGCCCTTGGAAAGTGATGCTTACTGAGACCCTGTAGGCAGGAAAAGAAAATCCACATCCATGTTGTTGTTGAGTGCCGTTGAGTCAATACCAACTCATAGCAACCTTATGCACAACATAACAAAACTGCCCAGTCCTGTGCCAACATCACAAATAATGTGTCGATTCCAGCCTATATGAAACTGCTCCTTCAAGAAAAGCAGGGATCCAATTTAATCAACCACCAAATGTTGGGCGGTTTCTTGGGGGATGGAGACATACCAGGCAGTTAGCGTTAGTTCCTTGCTAGCGAGTTGGACATTCACAGTAGATGCTGCATCAGCCTTGGTGAGCCCATGAGATTGGAAGGTCCATGCATACCTTCCATTCCTATTGCCCAGTCCTACATCATTTTAATGGTCATTGGGAGGTTTGAGTTCATTGTGTCAGTCCATCTCATTGAAGTTTACCTCATTTTCACTGGCCATCTACCAAACATCTTTTTCTAGCAATTGGCCTTCCCTGACAATATGTATAAAATATGTCAAAGTCTTGCCATCTTCATTTCTAAAGAGCATTCTTGGTTGTATTCTAAGATTAGTTCATTCTTTTGGCAATTTACAATATATTCAGAATTTTTTTGCCAACACTATAGTTTGAACATATCAGTTCTTTAGTCTTCCTTTTTCATTATGCAACTTAGATGCATATGAGGTGATTGAAAAGACATTGGCTTGTGTCAGATGCACCTTAGCCATCAAAGTGACATTTTTGCTTTCAAAAAAGTTTAAGGAAAATTCTGCTTTTTAAATGTTCTTTAAAACTTTAAAGAAACAAGCAGCACCACACCAAAAAAAAAAAAAGTGCGAGAGAAAAAGAGATCATAAAAAACTACATAGTAAGATGACAGCAATCAGTTTATGTTGTTTCACTGTTAAGTGCCATTGAGTCGGTTCCAACCCATAGTGACTGTATAGGGTTTCCGAAAACCAGCTGATGAGCCTGAACTCCCAAACTTGAAGTTCAAACCAACTTTGCAGTCTGGTGCAGTCCAGTCCACAGCACCACACCAGGACTCCTGTTTATTTCTATCCATATCAGTTTATGGATTCCTGGTGTGGCGCTGTGGGTTAATGCGCCAGACTGTAAAGTCGTTGGAACTACAAGGTTGGTGGTTCAAGCTCACCAGCTGCTCCCCAGAAACCCTATACAGGGTTGCTATGGGTCGGAACCGACTTGATGGCAATTCACAACAACAAATATCAGTTTATATCTATCCATAATTTCACTGAATGTTAACGAATTAAGTGTACCAATCAGGAGCCAGAGAGTAGCAAATTAGACAGGAAAATAACACCCATAAATGTGCTATTCACAAGAGACACACAGTTACAAAGACAAAAATAGACTAAAAATCAAAGGATGGGGGGAAAAAACATATGAAAAATCCTACTGAAGAACAAGTCCTGGTGTGGTGCTAAGGGTTAATGCACTGGACTGCTAAAGTCGGTTTGAACCACAAGGTCAGCAATTCCAGCTCACCAGCCGTTCCTTGGAAACCCTATACAGGGTTGCTATGGGTTGGAACTGACTTGATGGCTCTTAACAACAACAATGAAGAATAAAGAAAGTCTAAGAGTTATGTGGGACATCATGAAGAGGAACAACTTAATGGGTGATCAGAATTCCAGAACAGGAAGAGATAACCACAGAGAAAATTGTGGAAGAGCTGTTGGAAGGAAACTTCCCTAACATCATCAAAGACAAGAAGATACGCATACAAGAAGCTGAATGTACCCCAAATAGGATAGACTCCAAAAGAAAATCACCAAGACATATCATTGTCAAACTTTCCAAAATCTAAAGACAAGGAAAAAATCCTGAGATCCCCTCCAAGACTGAAACTCAAAGGGATCACATGAGCAGGCATGTAAGCTCACTGGTAACCATGTTGGTCTACATTTCAGTGGAAGTAGGGGAAAGCCAGTAGTGAAGATATAGACTGAGTTCAACCACGTTCCATAGACTCCTGTGGACCTCATGATGAGAGAGAAGAGGAAAGGCTGGTTGGTCCAAAGTTTGGGAAGACTTGTGAACTCCTGAGCCCGTGGACATTAACCTAGCCATGGAGGGCTAGAGCTGAGAGTGAAGCATCCAGCTGATATGAAGTGGGGGGAGATGCCCAAGAACGCCCAAACTTGCAGATAGTACCCAT